CTGCAAGAATGTCTGTCACTCTCATGCACACAAAAATAAAGAATTTAATAAAAAGGACTATTGATGACTTTGACTTCAGACCAGCAGTGATACAGTGTGTTTTATCATTGCTCTGCCCATGTGGGTTACTGCTCTACGTATACCCTGCCAGTGACAGAGTTCCACTTATACAAAGGTAGAGTTGGAGATAGATGTATCCTGTTTAATAATAGTTTAATTGATTCTAGTATGAGACTGTGGTTACGTTACTGCTGTGTCTATTCACTGCCACTTCCGATGCCACTTACACCAAGTTTGATTCAGGGCAGGGACGTTGCTAGGATCAAAAAACACCCGGGGCTTGAGCCCCAAAATAATATAGTGACCCCTTCCTAAGGCTCCACCTTTGGGCCTTTCCCAAATCCCAACACTGCCCCTCCCCGATTCCACCACTTAATACGCTTACTGGCTCACAGTTACTGACAGACACTCACACAAATACATAGACACAGTTGGGCAGACACAGACATACACACATTCAGAATCCAGCGCGCTCACTAAACACCAGCTTCAACGGGTATCTTTTTTTTAAAAAAAAACATCTACCTTACTTTTTCGTATATGATCATACATTGCATAAGCCACAATGTAACTGTACCCCATTCTTCGCAGGTCCTACTCTTGCAGTCTAATGCCTGCTGTTATGAGATTAATCCACTTACTTGGGAAATGCTTCCTCCTGGGACTCTCTGCAGGTCAAGGTTAAATTGGGCCCTGGAACGAGGTTAGTCCCTAAGTGTGGCAAGTCTTTTTTTTTTTTAACACATTGTAATTTTTCCTTTTTTTTCTGTAAAATACCTATTTTTTTCTAATTAAATTACTCATGCTCCACCTTCATTCAAAATGACTTTTATTATAGTTATTTTGCCGGGACTGGCCGAGCCTTGCTGTGTGGCTATGCCTGCTACCTCTGAGGTCATTGTTGGTCAAACCTGATACAACAATGTTATTTCCACACTGAAAGTGAGTGGGTGTGGGCAATTAAAGTGAGTGGGCAATTAAAGTTAGTGAGCAATTAAAGTGAATGGTCATGGGCCATTGAGGACCCACTAACCCCCGTCCACCCTGAGAAGAACATCCAGCCTGTAGCGTGATTGACTGTCGTTCAGTGTAAGAAGAAACAATGCTCCGTCATCAACATCCTCCTGCTGTGTCTGCAGAGATAACAATCAACGCAAGACTCAGCCAGGCCATCAAAACTACTGCAAACCAGTGTTAATTTGGTCGACTAACAATTTTCGTCAGATTTAGTTGACCAGAACTAGACTAAAACTAAAGCAATTCAGATGGACACCAACACTACGGACTGGATGTGTTAGAAGTCTTCGGTCTCATGGTGGATGAGGTGAGTGAGTCGTCAATCGCCCATTGAGGTTTTTTTTCAACGTTTCTCCTGCTACAGCTCATCCTCATTAATCATTAATACAAGACTACAGAAGGAAAAACGAGCAATAGATCTAAGTTATCTCAATTAATTGGCATAATAATAGTGGCTGATATTGCGTAGCCATGAAGGTAGACAATATTGAAGCCATTTTTGCATTGCAGCAACAGGATCCCTTTTTCCCCCATTGAATATTTTTTATGAATGGTGTTCAACTGAGCCGGCACATGGTTAAAGCAGAACTGGGAATCTTGGTCAGACCACCTTATCAGTAAGTGTCCTTACGCAAGACACCTTACAACATAAATTGGAAGCTTGTCTGAGTCAGGCCTTATTTCCTTTCTATAATTATAAAGCGCTGTGGAATATGTTAGCGCTATATAAATAATAATCAATGTCTGTATGTAAATGACTTGTCTCTTAATGCAGAGTTCACAGTAATCTCTCTGACAATTCACACAGTTTAGACGTCAAAGACCCCCGATAATCTCGTAGGTTTTGTGCACTCTAAATGAAGAGGCTCTTTAGAAGATAATTACCCCAGAGACTGTACTCTCGATGCACAAGAGCCTCACAAGTCCTTCCACTCAACACAGCCAGGTAGAACAAATCCACACTCATTAAAGGAAAACTCTTCTGGCTGACATCATTAGTCTCACATTAAATAGGAGCAAATGGCTTATAAAATGAGGTAAGATCTGTTACTAAAACACTGGGATTCAGTGACTTTTAAATAAAATATAGTCATTTTATATCCAAGAATCTGTAGCTATTGTGTTGACTAAATTGAGCAGAAAATCATTAATTGTGGAGGACCGCCGAGGATCTGCAGAATTTGGCCAAAATTCAACCAAAGTTCAGTTGGGAAGGAATCTTTACATTACAGAGTTACTCCAAGAATCATGAAGACGTCAGTGTTTTGAAGTGGTCATGGTGCTTGGTGTCTGTCGAAGCAACATTTTAGCATCAATTTCTGCACATACATATCTAGATATCTAATAAAGCTGCCAGAGTTGTAACTCCACCTCCAGCGCATCATTGGCCGGAACAAGAATTCTGCAAATGTTAATTATGTGAATAAAATGCCAGATGTCAGCGTGGATAGCATGCTGGAGGCAAATGTGGCACGGTCCCAGTCTGTGCCGCTCTCAACCCTTCCTCAGTGACAATACTCTCCCGCAGCGAGAGGCGGTGACATCACGAAGAATGACAGTGCTGCAGGGACAATGTGGCCTCGGAGTTTATGCTTTTATTTATTTTTAGAAAGGCAGGTATCTGGCAAATAAAGGATACCCCAACCAAAAACCAGTCATCAGCTTTCCTCTACCTGAAGTCGGACATTTTTCATAGAATTGTCCATTTCAGGAAAGGCCGCCAAATTTCAAGTGGAGTAAAAACGTTAAATAGTCTGTGATGTCCACATCAATGGACAGGATTACAGCACAGACTCAGGGAGCTAATGATACATTTATTGCAATGAACATTCTCCTTGTCACTTCCCTTCCATAAGTAAATACCGCCATCGCCGCTGCCCGTACAAATCACCATAACTGAGCCATAAAAACCGTAAGCGTTTCCATTAAATTGTCCAGCTCCCGCACCTGACGACTTACAGTTTGGTCATCTCAAAAGCAAACAAGGATACATTAAACACAAAGTATACACTCCCAGAGAAATGCCTTTTTTTCCTATAAATGTTTAACATAATTGATGTTTTACAAAGCGTACAATGCATAATAACGCCAGCAGATGTGTATAACGCTTCCTTCGCCAGTGTCAGAAGCTGTACCTCATTGTCAGGTTCAGTAAATGGCCAATTAAAGACACATAAAGGCTTTGTTTATCGTCAGCCATCTGGCACCGAGCGTCTCGCGTGTTGCGTGTCTAAAAGCCCAGTAATCACCACACTTTGCTGCTAATCGAAAAGTTCTTCATTGTTTGTGCTTTACGCAATCCACGTTGTAATTATATTTTGCTTGTATTCTCCACAAAGTCATTTAACGGGCAGCTGTTTGCGTCTTATTGTGAAACGATTGCTGCAAAGCGAGAGGATTTTCTGCACAGTTTTTTCAGACTCAAACCGGTGGAATTGGAGGTTAGCGCAGGTCTGCGGACATTCTCATACAATTATTAAACTCTTAAGGATTAATAACAATGACAGAAATTCCGCGGAATTTGCTGGCGCTATATAAACTATAATAATAAATAGATAAATAACGAACTATAGCATCCAGTTAATAAAGATTCAGTTGATTTAATGGAGCGTATTTAAATTGGGATTTGCAGTCAATGGATAAGGAAATGATCTAAATTATTGTGTATAATATGCTCACGATTAGCAGAGCTAAGTAATAGAAGGTTTTACTGTTTACCCAAATGTTTCGACTAACATTTCTATTTTGTTGCAAATCCTCCAGTTTCTGGTTTTGTGAATAAGCTTCAATACTGGCATCAAACGCTCTAATTATTTATCAGGACTTAATTCTAAGTAATAATAAGGTATGGAATGCTTGTATTAATGGCACTCTTTTTCAGAATTAATGAGATGCGTGGCTTTACATGGATATTTACATATGTGCTTTTATACAATAGTGACGTTGATTATGACAATCAATATACTGTATTTATCCTGAAAAATTAAACATGGCCACTTACAGCTCTGTCTCTGAGTTTGATGAGCTTGAATTTAACCATCCTGTATGATGCTCTGGGGATTCTGATTTTACAGTAAATCCTGACAAACCCTGAACACACAACTTTGAGCTCCGCGGGGGAGGAGCTACACATATGGGCGTTGCTTTTACCATTAAAGAAAATTTACGTTAATTCAGTAAACTGACTCTTTACACAGGATTGTGGGACATATGAAATATTCTGTGCCCATACATTACAAATGAGCGTTTTAGCCCTACTGTACAGCTTTATATACTTTATATCACTGAGAGAAAATATGGCCTTTTAGCTGTGTAATGCAAGTTAATATCAGGTTAATCCTGGTACGTTTCTGTCATCCATCCCTCTGACCCTCGTGCATAGCGAGTATGTGCACTACACTATCTGCAGCACTCGTTGTCCCGGACAATGCTTCAAGTATTTGTCATGTGCAAGGCTAGTGAAGGATTTGTGCCCCCCTTCTCCCTCAAACGGAAACACTGCACTTTCTGACTCCTACTACCTCAAATCACTGAAGTGGTCATGGTGGTTGGAGCATTGGCAACTTTGCTCCTCCCATTAAATACATCCAATAGCTGCTCTTCCTCTCTGGCAAGTAATATCCTCTCTGGTGGCAACACTGCCGTCTGCTGTGGAGCTCTGTGATACATTCCTACACACTGTACATTACTGTGAGTTTTATTGCTGTGGAGCTCTGTGATACAACCATACACACTGAACATTACTGTGAGTCTTATTGCTGTGGAGCTCTGTGATAAAACCATACACACTGAACATTACTGTGAGTCTTATTGCTGTGGAGCTCTGTGATACAACCATACACACTGAACATTACTGTGAGTCTTATTGCTGTGGAGCTCTGTGATACAACCATACACACTGAACATTACTGTGAGTCTTATTGCTGTGGAGCTCTGTGATACAATATGTAATAATAGATGTTTTGTACAATATGATTAGTTTAATTTATAATTAAGGGAGCAATGCATTGAATTTTACAGAGATATAAACCCTACCATGTAAATCAGATTGTTCTCATGGTCACCAATGCGTTAAATGCCGGGTGTGGAACCAATACAACAAATTATAGTTGGCATTGACGTGTTACAGTATATTAAACACTGGATATGACAGAGTAAATCTGCAATATATGTAGCCATCGGTGGAGGAGAAGGACCATTGTCATGAATTATATACAGAGAAACAAGTTAACAGCACAGCACACAGATACATGATGTTTATTCACCAGTTCATTGAGATTCTGTAAAACACATTCACATTTCATAACACAAAATACCTGGAGATTAGTGAATGCAAGGTGTGTGCTGCAGGCGCTCTTGGTTAAACGCCATTATTGATCTGATTGTACGGTGCACAGGAAGTGATTGTAATTAGCCATTTATTAGCAGCTGGGAACAATGTGAGTAAATGGGCTGCCGAGTCAGATTGTTCAAAAGTCATTTAGCTTCAACTTTCCACCTCGGCGTGGTTTCATTCAGATACCATCTCCCAAGCTGTTGGGAGATACAGGAAAAGTGTTGCTGGCAGGATGCAGCAGTCACGCGTTAAAGGGACAATATGGTCATCAGAACAACTACAGCTTAATGTACAGTATACAGCTTATTGTATAGTATACAGCTTAATGTACAGTATACAGCTTATTGTATAGTATACAGCTTAATGTACGGCATACAGATTATTGTATAGTATACAGCTTAATGTACAGTATAGAGCATAATATATAGTATACAGCTTAATATATAGTATACAGCTTAATGTACGGCATACAGATTATTGTACAATATAGAGCATAATATATAGTATACAGCTTAACCCCTTCAGGACGGAGTCAATAGTACACGTTCTGATCAAAACAAAAGGTAAACTAAAACTGGAATTTGCGCTACGTGTCTGTTCAACCGTAATTCACCGCTGTCACATTAAGTGCACCCACACTTATTATATATCATTTTGTTCAGGAGAAACATGGCTTTAAGTTATCATTAACTATTCATATATGGAACATAATTTATTATGAATAAAATTTAAAGAAATGTGAGAACATAAGATTTTTTTTAAAATTTGTATTTCCATCTGACATTTTAGCTGTGAATGTCATAATACTGTTAGGTTTTACTGCAAAAAAATGCACATATTTGTAATCAGCGATGTCTCACGAGCACAACAGTACCCCCCATTAACAGGTTTTATGGTGTTTTGGAAAGTTACAGGGTCAAATATGCAACGTTCCATTTTCAAATTGAAATTTGCCAGATTAGTAATGTTACCTTTGAGACGGTGTGGTAGCTCAGGAATGAGAATTACCCCCATAATGGCATACCATTTGAAAAAGTAGACAACCCAAGGTATTGAAAGTGGGGTATGTTTAGTCTTTTTTAGTAGCCACTTAGTCACAAACACTGGCCAAAGTTAGCGTTCATATTTGTTTTTGTGTGAAAAAAGCAAAAAAACTAATATTTGGCCAGTGTTTGTGACTAAGTGGCTACTAAAAATGACTGGACATACCCCATTTGCAATATCTTGGGTTGTCTACTTTTGCAAATGGTATGCCATCATGGGGGTAATTCTTATTCCTGGGCTACCATACGCTCTCAAAGGCAACATAACCAATCTGGCAAATTTCAATGTCAAAAAAATGAAATGCAAGCCTTATATGTTACTCTCTAACTTTCCAAAACACAATAAAACCCGTACATGGGGGTACTGTTCTTCACGGGAGACTTCACTAAACACAAATATTAGTGTTTTAAATCAGTAAAACATATTACAACAATAATATAGTCCATAAAAGTGCCATTCATTTGTAAAAAATGCAAAAAATGTCACTTTTACTTAAAATATCATCGTTGTAATACAATTTACCAGTTTGAAACACTAATACTTGAGTTCAGCAAAGTCTCCCGAGTAAAACAGTACCCCCCATGTACAGGTTTTATGGTGTCTTGGAGAGTTACAGGGTCAAATATAGCGCTTGCGAATTAAATTCTCTGCACTTTCTCGCTGTGTTGTCAGGCATGTCAATCAAATTTTAATTAATCAAATCACATCATTATGGTAAAAGATTACTTAAATATACACGTAGAATTTTAACCCCTTAAGACCGGAGGGCGTACTATTACGTCCTCTAATAGGTGGCTCTAAACGCCGCCGGGCGTAATAGTACGCCCTCCGGTCTTTCTGTACTTACCCGGTCGCCGGCGGTCCCACGCCGGCGATCGCGGTGGGGGGGACTCCCAGGGAGCCCCCCGCGGCACGACCGTCCTCCAGGAAGCCCCCCGGCCGTGTGAGAGTGGGATCCTAGCGAGGACCCCACAATCACATGGCCGGGGATAGCTGGCTTCTGTATTGCCAGCAGTGGGGCTGCCTGTAATGACAGGTGGTCCCCCTGCTGGCTGAAAATAAAAATGAAATAAATAAATAGTGTAAAAAAATAAATAATATATACTTAGATCATATATATATATTATATATATATGATCAAAGTATATATATACACATATACATACACACATGTACACACACCGTCTAGGTGTATTTTACTATTAATATATATATAATTATATATATATATTAATATCAAATTACACGTACACTGATACTGATTAAATATATATATAATTATTGTTATATATATATTTATATATATTATAAAAAAAATTTAAATGTAAATACGTTAAAAAATTAAATTACAAAAATAATTAAAAATAAATAATTAAAAAATATATAGATGTGTGTTATTTCGTTCTAACTGTATTGTGAAATTAATATATATATATATATATCAAAATACACATAGAACGAAATAATATATATATTTATACACATAAATATATACGTATATATCACTATATATATATCTATATATAAATAAAAATATTTAAAAAAAATTATATAGATATATACATATATATACACATACGTATATATATACATATATTGATTCTACATATATATTTATGTAATACTTTTACATAATTAGGTATCTTAATTAATTACAATTAGCAGGACCTGCATGACAACCCATGCCGAAAGTAAAGGGAATTTAATTTGCTAGCACTATATTTAACCCTATAACTTTCCGAGACACCATAAAACCTGTACATGGGGGTACTGTTCTACTCGGGAGATTTCGCTGAACACAAATATTAGTGTTTCAAAACAGTAAAATGTATTACAACGATGATATCGCCAGTAAAAGTGACGTTTTTTGCATTTTTCACGCACAAACAGCATTAAACGGACAATATTATTGCTATGATACTTTTACTGTTTTGAAACACAAATATTTGTGTTCAGTGAAGTCTCCCGAGTACAACAGTACCCCTCATGTACAGGTTTTATGGTGTTTTCAAAGTTACAGAGTCAAATATAAGGCTTGTGTTTCATTTTTTTCACATTAAAATTCGCCAGATTGGTTACGTTGCCTTTGAGACCCTATGGTAGCCCAAGAATGAAAATTACCCCTATGATGGCATACCATTTGCAATAGTAGACAACCCAAGGTATTGCAAACAGGGTATGTACAGTCTTTTTTAGTAGCCACTTAGTCACAAACACTGGCCAAAATTGGCATTTTTTGCATTTTTCACACAAACAGATACGAACGCTAACTTTGGCCAGTGTTTGTGACCAAATGGCTACTAAAAAAGACTGGACATACCCCATTTGCAATACCTTGGGTTGTCTACTATTGCAAATGGTATGCCATTATGGGTGTAAATTTCATTCCTGGCTACTATAAAGTCCCAAAGGCAACGTAATCAATCTGGCGAATTTCAATTTCAAATGTAACGTGCTATATTTGAACCTGTAACTTCCCAAAACGCCATAAAACCTGTACATAGGGGGTACTGTTTTACACGTGAGACTTTGCTGAATACAAATATGTGTATTTTATTGCAGTAAAACCAAACAGTATTATGACACTGACCGTTTAATTGTCATGTAGAACTAAAAAAATCCAATAAAATCGTATTTTCTCCCATTTTTTTCATATTAAATTATGTTTCATAGCTAAATATTTGATATTAAATGAAAGCCCTGGTTCCCCTGAATAAAATGATATATAATAAGGGTGGGTGCATTTACTATGAAAGAGGTGTATTACGGTTGGACAGACATGTAGCGCAAATGCCAGGTTTTGTTTACATTTTGTTTTGTTCACAACGTGTACATTTGGCTCCGTCCTTAAGGGGTTAATATATATGCATTTATATGTATTTCAATTCTACGTGTATACTAATGTAATTATATGTATTTATCTATATATATTTGCGGTTATTTGTATTTTATATATAGATAGATATATATAGAATGTCATTCTAAGTGTATTTTGTTACCAATATATATATTAATAACAAAATACAGTTAGAATGAAATAACATATGAATATATAATTTATATTAAATTTTGTTTCAATATTTTATTTATTTTATTAATATTTTATTTATTATTGTAATTATACGTATATATATATATATATATATATATATAAATACATTTCTATTTTATTTTAAACATGTTTAATGATTTTTTATTTTTACACTACCCACCAGCAGGGGGACTGTCTGACATTTCAGACAGTCCCCCTGCTGGCAGATCCACAGCCAGCTACAGGGGGCCATGTGATCGCTTTGAGAGTGATCACATGGCCCCCGGGGGCCTCATTTGCCGGGGGAGGGCTGCCTGGGCTGTCAGTAAATCTCACCTCCTGGGGCTCCAGCCGTTACAGCGTTCTATGCCGCCGCAATGGCTTGAAAGCTCATTTAATGCAGGACAGCATAGAACGCCGTAATGGCATTAAGGGGTTAATGTACGGCATACAGCTTATTGTACAGTATAGAGCATAATATATAGTATACAGCTTAATGTACAGGATACAGCTTATTGTATAGTATACAGCTTAATGTATGGTATACAGCATAATATATAGTATACAGCTTAACGTACACTGTACAGCTTAATATACGGTATACAGCGTAATGTATAGTGTGCAGCTTATTGTACAGTATACAGCGTAATGTATAGTGTGCAGCTTATTGTACAGTGTGCAGCTTATTGTACAGTATACAGCGTAATGTATAGTGTGCAGCTTATTGTACAGTGTGCAGCTTATTGTACAGTATACAGCGTAATGTAGTTGTTCTGGTGGGTACAGTCAGTCTCTGCAGGGTTTTTGCTGTAAACACGGTTTGTTTCAGAGAAAATGTTGTGTTTCCATTACTGTCTAGGTAAAGGTTTTACCTTTTTATTGGGGATAAAGTGGGGACGGCCACCTACAATGTGTTTAACACTATATAGTCAGGAATACAGGTTTGTGTTAGATCTAATACTCGCTTGTATTCCTGACGCTTGTTCATTTAATAAAGGAAGCCAATTAATGAATCACTGTGGTTCTACGGCAGGAGTAGGCAACAGTCAGCACTCCAAGTGTTGTGCACTAAATATCCCATAATGCTTTGCCAGCTATGGCTGCATATTGCAATCCGGATCAACATCGAATCAAATCCAAGCCATGATCACAATACGGAAACGCACTGCTGAGCCAAGGCTGCATAGTCACAGAGTGCCGGGGGGGTCACACTGCACCCCAGTATAGTAACGCTAAGATATTACATGTGTTGTCTGCTTTCTATGATGCCAATATAAGGCTTCTTATACAGCCTGGAGTATGGCATCAGGGTTGGATACGGCTTGGGCAGGTATCTTTATAGATCAGTTATGATTATAGAGAGTCTATTTAATAGAACCTCCGTTACTCTTTAGGAGTTGGGTGTAAATAAAGTGTTTTCACTTTCATTCCCAGTTTTGGAGTATTTCTGGGATTTGGGCTATAAATCCACATAGTCTGACTGAAACTGTAACATGAAATGAGACACGCGCTCATCCTACGTGACTATTTATACGTTTTAAGTAACTTATCTAATATACTTTTATTAAAGATGGAATAAAAGCTACGTTTCATTGATAATTTATCCAGTTTATTTCAGGGACCGGTGACATCTTCTGAACCAAATCAGAAAATGGGATATTCACCGACCTTGGTTTACCGACTCGAGGGTTTACCATTAAATCAAAACAAGATTAAAAATGTAATGTTCTAACTAGATCATTCTGCAACGGAAAGGGTCCCTACTGGGTCCTGTCTCTGCTCTCGGATGGCGATTATTACAATTTTCTTAAGAAAACATTTGGCTATCCCAGGCCCCGGTTGATGTTATATACATACACATAAAGAGATTTGGTAGATACACATCTAATAATACCACTCCCACCCTGTAGGTACTTTCACATGATCCCCTGACTGACACCCAGCCTTTACCCCACCAAGTGAAGTCAGAGGGCTGTCCTGCTCCCCCAAAACAGGCATTACATTATGGCAACAATTACAATTTTATAAAACATCATCCGTTATACGTCACTGTGCTTTTTACATCATATTATTACATCTTCAATCATATAAACAGAGAATTGTGCTATTATTTAATGCCATTTAAAAATACAATTCTGTGTTCAGCGAAGGGTAATATACAAACAGGATGGAGTGTAACAATTTGTGCGTTAATTGTGTGCTGTCTCAGCGCTGTGTGTATAATACTCTAAACACAGTGTGTGTTTTGTCATTCACAGCATTTCAAATGGAAAGTAAAAAAAAAAAAATTCATTATTGTTTGAGTAGGCATTTGTATATCTATTGTCAGCACATAGCAGCAATACTTTTATAAAGCGCTGACATATTCCACAGCGCTGTACAAAATAAGTGCCTTTGGAAAAGCTTTGCTAAAGAAAGGCTTGTGTTAAACACAAGTTTTGTGTATTTAAAATGTTATCTTTCCAACATTTTTCTCCTTATGTTTGGACAATATCTATTTCACAAAGAAAGCAAGATCCCACACATTAGGAATACCGTAACACCCAATCATAGGAAGAATACAAGTTTTAAAGATCTACAGCAATCTATTCAAGCTGATTTTTCATACTAAAGGTCCTTTAAGTGCTTTATCATCAGATCTGGCGTTTTGGTTACAGCGTACTACGCTGTCGTGCCGATTTGCAAAAGAATCCCCTTACCACATAGCCCGGCACGATAAA